CCCCAAAACCCCAAAACCCCAAAACCCCAAAACCCCAAAACCCCTAACTATATCCTGAATATTGAATAACGCTACAAATTCATTAATAAAATTAGCGCATTATGAAATAGTCAGGCTTGATTTGACACTCTTCACTAATTGATCGACCTTGGAGTCTTCACCAATGTACTCGTCTCCTTTCTTGATTCAGTTTATGAGATATACCAGATTCTGAACACTCTTCTTGGAGTTTACCCAAACTCTTCCATTGAACCCGACGATTATTTCAAACTCGAAAAGTTGGCCCAATGTTGCCAAAAGGTAGCATTTCTTGGATTGTAAGTAAGATATTAGCTTCTTTGAACACTCTAACAAGAACCCTCCCTTTATTGGACCGAAATAGGACTCTCCTGATGTCCATGACTTCTTGTGAATCGGAGAGATGCATGATAGAGTTGGTCTTGAGAACCTATCTGTTGAAAGTATCCTTCAATAAATCAGACTATTCACCTCAAGATTAGGCTTATTTTTCTTTGTAGCTCCATCAAACTCAAGAGCATCAAGTGTTGCTGTAGAATATGCCCCAATATCAACTTCATAAGAAAAGGCGAATTTATTTGTGATTCTTCCAAGAACTAGGTCTCCTGATTTTGGGAAATAGTAGTTGCTAAGAGCTTGGTCAGGAAAAACATCAATGTGAACCTTTTCCTTCAACTTTCTTTTATCTTTCTTTCCTTTGCCCTCCTCCTGCTTCTTCTTGACAATGGATACCTTCCCTGTTGTAGAAACCTCAAAACTTTCTTTTGTAATATTATAGTTCAGGATATGGCTAGGATCATTAATTTTTGTAGTTGTTGTGTCTAATTTCTCTATAAGCAGTATGTTAGATCAAGATCTTGGTCTTGCAAAGCTTACTCAAAGTTTCTCCTGCTAGCATATTGACTGACTCCATTTATGGTTTTGTTTCAATAATTTATTACAAAAACGGGGTTTTGGGGTTTTGGGGTTTTGGGGTTTTGGGG